CTCTTAAAATCCTATATTTTTTCCAGGAGCGAAAGAAAATTATTAAAGGCATAAAAGGCCACATTGATAAAATAGCTCATGATCGATATGGGAGTATGGTGAGTATGATTTCAGCTGTTATGAACCCATTCTTCTTCTTTCCTTCCCACCATGTCAATCATTTTCCACCATATCTTAAATCAGATTATCATTGGTCCAGAGATGGACTATATAACTGGAAGTTTTCATACTTCATATTGCTGGATTATTACTGCTTGCTTAATTTATTTGTGGACAGTAATTTTATAAAGCTTCTTGATTCAATTGCAACCTCGCTGTTAACTTCAAAACTCTGATTTGAGATCCTTTTACATCCTCGATCACTATTTCAGGTGCTTGTCTGCATTCTTTCGATTGTTGATGACACAAAACTTATATCAAAGGTTCGTCTCCTCTCCCATTTTGGGTTCTAGATATTTTTGCATTTTCCAACGGATATGCCATTTTCAAAATGTTCTTTTCATGCAGATCATCATTAAAGAACTCCAAGGAAATTTAAAGGAGCTAATTTTAGATCAGGTTTATTGCTTTTAAACACATTAGACTACAAATTTGCTTGTTTGACCTCGTGCCTCAAAATTGTAGGTCTGACTGAAGGTCAATACCCTAATTTCTCTATCTTACAGAATGGAAGACGTCCTTTCCTGCAGCTACTCCATCCTCATTGTCCTCGATATTTCAATCCAGACGATTTAACATCCCTGAGTTTATCAATTCCATCTATCAGAAATAAGGCAACATCCTTTTCTTTAAAGAATTTGTAGATTTTGAACTGGTTTTGGAAAGTAATGGAATTGACTAGCCTCCTTTATTCTGTATATCAGGATGAATCAGATATGAATCATAACAATGATGAAGCTGTTGAAGAGGATAGGAATGATGAAGGCAAAACCTCTGATACACGTATACATCTAAATGAGGGCGGTAAGAAGGATTCTTGTACTCGAAGGCAGGAATTGTTGGTTAATAGTGGGCTTGCTGAGGTTTGTACTTCTATTCTACCTACATAAAAATATTGAATTACTGTTTTCTCGTTTTCCATTGGGAGCAGCCATTTTCCACCTTGAATCTATAGCAATGTTGCTTCTGCTGTTTGCTTTT